GGGGGGGTCCCAGAGCTCCCGCGACGGCCCACGCCCGCCGCGAAACAGGCCACGACAGGCCAAGTGGGCCCCAAGAGGGCCCAAGACGGTCCCAAGAGGCCCAGAAGACGCCCAAGATGCTTTCAAGACGGCCGACGAGGATTCCAACGCGCTCCAGGGCGGACTCAAGAGGCTCCCCAAGAAGGCCCTGGGAGGCAAAATGCATGCATTTCTTTATATGGTTTTTGAAGGATTTTAGCGTTCTCGCTTTTCCCGCTTCCCAGCGCTCCCTCACGGCCTCGGAGGCCCTTCAGATCGCTCCAAGACGGCACACGAGGCCCCGAAGAGGGCCCGAAGACAGCCCAGGAGGCTCCACAGACAACCCAAGTGTGCCCCAAAAGGGGGCCCAGAAGGGGACCACGAACCGATATTTCGAAGTCTCTGTCACCAGAGGCCCCCAGTAGGCCCCCGGAGGCCACCAAGAGGCTCCCACGAAGCCCCGTGAGGTCCCCAAGAGGCCCCCAGAAAGCCCCAAGGGGCCCCCACGCAGGGAACGCCCAAGACGCCCCCCAACACACCCCAACAAATCATGTCTCCAGAAAGCCTTCTGGGGACATGGTTCATCATGGGCCCGAGAGTCTCCGAAGGCTCCGAAGTAGTTACCATCGCGCTACGGGAGAGTTGTTTGGGGAGTTTACTGGGATCCGCGGATCGTTTCGCGGCCTTCCGCGGATCGTTTCGCACAAAGTTGCCCCAAGTGCCCTCTTGAACCGACGACGACGACGACGACGACGACGACGAAGACGTCGATGACGACGAAGCGACGACGACGAGGGCGACGACGACGACGACGACGACGACGACGACGACGGCGCGCCTCAAGAGGCGACGACGACATTATAACGACAACGACACGCCCCAACAGGCTCCCCAAGACGCGCCCAAAACCCATGTTCCTAGAAGACCTTCTGGGAACCCGATTCATCAGGCCCCAGCCCCCCTACGCAACCATTTTTCCCGAAAGCCTTCCGGAATTCGGATTGACACGCATGGATTTCGCATTGCCTATAATGCGTTCGGCGTTATGGGCATTTTTCCACTTCCCGTTCAAAGCAGCAGTGGTCCCTTACTTCCGTGGAGCAGTGAACGCGTCAAGGCTTGGGGCCTGCTAGAACCTGAGCGCGCGCGAAGCGCGCGCGATGGTTCTGGTATATATATATATATATATGCATATATATATATATATATGTATACACATGGAAAAGGGTACATGCATGCATATATACATATTTACCTAAGAGCTTTTGCTGATAGGTTTCTAGTGGGGTCAAAAGAAAGCATCTGGACTCCACAGGGGGGTCTGGGCGGGTGCCGGGGAGGAGGGCTGGGAACAGAGCCGGGCTTGTTTTAAGCCAACAGTCACACACTTCGTGCTCTTCGACCTCCCAGAACTCCACTCCCGGGCCACATTTTGAATAACCGGAGCCAACTGTAGGCCACTTCGTGCTCTTCGACTTCCCAGAACTCCGTTCCCGGGCCACATTTTGGATGCCCGGAGCCAACTGTAGGCCACTTCGTGCTCTTCGATTTCCCAGAACTCCATTCCCGGGCCACATTTTGGATGCCCGGAGCCAACTGTAGGCCACTTCGTGCTCTTCGAGTTCCCAGAACTCCATTCCTGGGCATGATTTTGAATGCCCGGAGCCAACTGTAGGCCACTTCGTGGTCTTCGAGTTCCCAGAACTCCATTCCTGGGCATGATTTTGAATGCCCGGAGCCAACTGTAGGCCACTTCGTGTTCTTCGAGTTCCCAGAACTCCATTCCCGGGCCACATTTTGAATGCTGAGGCAGGCTGATGCTGAGGCTGAGGCAGGCTGAGGCTGAGGCCTGAGGCAGGCTGAAGGCAGACTGAGGCTGAGGCTGAAGCAGGCTGAGGCTGAGGCTGAGGCAGGCTGAGGCTGAGGCTGAGGCAGGCTGATGCTGATGCTGAGGCAGGCTGAGGCTGAGGCTGAGGCTGAGGGCTGAAGGCAACTGAGGCTTTGGCTGAGCAGGCTGAGGCTGAGGGGAGGCTGAGGCTGAGGCAGGCTGAGGCTGAGGCTGAGGCAGGCTGAATGGCTGAGGCAGGCTGAGGCTGAGCAGCTGAGGCTGAGGCTGAGGCTGATGCAGGCTGAGCTGAGGCAGGCCGAGCGGAGGCTGAGGCTGAAGGACTGAGGCTGAGGCTGAAGCAGGCTGAGGCTGAGGCTGAGCAGCTGGGCTGAGGCTGAGGCAGGCTGAGGAGCAGGCTGAGGCTGAGGCTGAGGCTGATGCAGGCTGAGGCTGAGGCAGGCTGAGGCTGAGGCCGAGGCTGAAGGCAGACTGAGGCTGAGGCTGAGCTGAGGCTGAGGCTGAGGCTGAGGCTGAGGCTGAGGCTGAGGCAGGCTGAGGCTGAGGCTGAGGCTGATGCAGGCTGAGGCTGAGGCAGCTGAGGCTGAAGGCAGACTGAGGCTGAGGCTGAAGCAGGCTGAGGCTGAGGCTGAGGCTGAGGCTGAGGCTGAGGCTGAGGCTGAGGCAGGCTGAGGCTGAGGGCTGAGGCTGATGCAGGCAGGAGGCTGAGGCAGGCTGAGCTGAAGGCTGAGGCGAGGCTGAAGGCAGACTGAGGCTGAGGCTGAAGCAGGCTGAGGCGGAGGCAGAGGCAGGCTGAGGCTGAGGCTGAGGCTGAGGCAGGCTGAGGAGGCTGAGGCTGAGGCACGCCGAGGCAGGCTGAGGCTGAGGCTGAGGCAGGCTGAGGCTGAGGCAGGCTGAGGCTGATGCGCAGGCTGAGGCGAGGCAGGCTGAGGCTGAGGCTGAGGCAGTCTGAGGCTGAGGCAGGCTGAGGCTGAGGCTGAGGCTGAGGCTGAGGCTGAGGCTGAGGCAGGCTGAGGCAGACGCTGAGGCAGGCTGAGGCTGAGGCTGAGGCAGGCTGTGGCTGAGGCTGAGGCTGAGGCAGGCTGAGGCTGAGGCTGATGCACGCTGAGGCTGAGGCAGGCTGAGGCTGAGGCTGAGGCTGAGGCTGAGGCTGTGGCTGTGGCTGAGGCTGAGGCTGAGGCAGGCTGATGGCTGAGGCTGAGGCAGGCTGAGGCTGAGGCTGAGGCTGAGGCAGGCTGATGCTGAGGCAGGCTGAGGCTGAGGCTGAGGCTGATGCAGGCTGAGGCGAGGCAGGCTGAGGCTGAGGCCGAGGCTAAAGGCAGACTGAGGCTGAGGCTAAAGCAGGCTGAGGCTGAGGCTGAGGCAGGCTGAGGCTGAGGCTGAGGCAGGCTGAGGCTGAGGCAGGCTGAGGCTTGAGGCTGAGGCTGAGGCTGAGGGCTGAGGCTGAGGCAGGCTGAGGCTGAGGCCGAGGCTGAAGGCAGACTGAGGCTGAGGCTGAAGCAGGCTGAGGCTGAGGCTGAGGCAGGCTGAGGCTGAGGCAGGCTGAGGCTGAGGCTGAGGCAGGCTGAGGCTGAGGCTGTGACTGCGACTGCCGTTGCCACTGCGAGTGTCATCGCGAATGCAACTACGAGTGCGAGAACAGCAGAATTCTACAACTGGATTCTCATCCGAATCTTAAGGGGAATGCTTCCAGATATGCTCCTACACATCGCTGTTAGGTTGCCTTGCCGGGATATGTTTTTTTGCGGGGCGAGAGCGAACTTCTTCCGCTGAAAATCTATACATACACACGCACTCTCATAGTTATAGTCATGTATGTATGTTGTATGTTTGTTGGCGTATATATATATATATAAGTATTTATATCTTGATTATCTCATACCAGGAATGGCCACCCACCCCCCCAATAGAATCTGGCGGCCCCAAAGGCCCCGGAGGCTCTTCTCTGGCCCGCCCCTGAGGGCGCCAAACAGGCTCCAGGGGAAAACCGGAAACAATCCACGACGGCCCCGAAACACCCAAATATCTTTAGCAGACGCCCGAGATGCCCCCAAGACAGTCTAAGAGGCTTCCAGGACGCCTAAAGAGGCGGCCAAGAAGTTTCCCAAGAGGGCCCCAAGAGGCCCAAATCATTGATTTTCCATAGAAAACCGTGTTTTTCCGCACATACGATTTTACGCCCTGTACGGCGTCGACGACGGTCCAAGACGCTCCCAAGACCGCCCCGAGACGGGCCAAGAGGCTCCCAAGCGGCTTCCCGAAACGGCACAAGAGGGCGCCAAGACGGCCCAAGAGGCGCCCAAGACGGCCTAAGAGGGCCCCAAGACAGCCCCAAAGATCCCAAGAGGGCCCCAGGAGGTCCCCAGGGAGCCACCAAGAGAGCCCCAAGACGAGTCAAGGCCTCCAAGACGCCCCGAGACGGCCCAGAAGCGGCCCAAGACGGCCCAAAGGGTCCCAAATAGGCAAAAGAACCCAACACACGCGTCCGCCCGAATTGTCCACCCATATTCGATAGGACCCACGTGGGTTTCCTTGAATTGCATTTTTTCTTTGAGTTTCGATGAATTCTTCTGCATGTTCGCGGAGGTCGGAAGGGAAGGTGGAGGTGCAGGGGCCCACCCCGCCCAGGCAGGTGCGGTGTCGCGTGCCAAAGCCTACCTCGGAATTATGTTCGATATATCTCCCATTCGAGTTCGATGTTTCTCCCCCCATGAGCTGGTCCCCCCTCGCGGTCCCCCCTCACCCGAGAGAGGGGGCTCCTCCAGGCGCAGCCGCGCAGCCACGCAGCCCAGCGCCGTACCGTGGTATGCCGCGTGCTGTGCCGCGCCTCGGCGTGCACGCCGCCCGCATTGTGGGCGGGGCTGACAAGTACCCGCGACAACAAAAATTGTCGCGGGTTGGCGGTGCTTTGGTGGGCGCGTGTCATCGAGGGCGTTCTACTTCTCGCAAAGTGCCTACTCGCAAACGTCCGAGAAGCACGTGTCTTCTTCCATGGAGTGGATCACAGTAACCCCCGCGGCGGATCGGGGCCATGTGCGAGTGGGCACCCTGCGAGTAGTGGAACGTCCTGGTCTGGTCTGGAGGCCCTGGAGGCTCCTCCACGGACGGCCTGGCGGCGACGGCGCCCGGCGGCCAGGACCCGGAGGGCACGGCCCTGCTGGCCAGGCTCCGCGAGCGGTTGCTCACCTCGGCGCGCCCCGCGCGCCCCTCCCTGCGCCGCCCGCCGGGCCGCCAGGCTCCCTCCTCCCTCCTCCCTCCTCTTCCTCCTAGCCGCCGCCCCGGCCCGAGAGGATTTCGGGTGCCTTACCAGGTAAGGCGACCTCTCACGCGGGGCTGCTGCCAGACGCGCCCGCCCATCCCGCGTGCCCCGTCACGGCGCGCAGCAGGAGGGCCAGCCGTGACAGAGGCGAGCCGGCCTGGCACCGTCGTGCCAGGGCCGAGCGAGGCAGGGCCAGGACCTTGCTACGCATCGCCTCAGCCAGTGAGTTACTACACAGACACCACAGCAGCATGACGAAAGGCCGTTCCAGAGGTGACAGCAGAGGACGCCATGATCGTACAGAGCGTGAACAAGAGCCTCGTTCCCCGCCGTGGAAGACGGTCACCAAATACAAGCGCTTGTGGGAGTGTCCAGCACGCACTCACCACAACGCATGGACAGCGCAGGTGTGTGCCAAATGCCATCCCAGCCAATTTCCAGAATGGAGAGAGCGACGAACCAGATCGGCATCCCGTCCACGTGGCCAGCGCCGAGCCGCCACCTCGCAGCCCCCACAGCGAGGCGCAGCGAGCACGGCCAAGCAGACAGAAGGTGGTCCAGACGACATTATTCCGAGTATGCCGGCCCCCCCCCGAGTTTGCGCAGGCACATCGTCGATGGCGCGAACCGCCACAAGACCCACAGCAGCTAGGGGACTTCAGGAAGGCATTGGCGCCACAATGGAATCCATCGAGCGCCAGCTGCACTGCGCGGTTGCGCTCAATCTCGACGAGGAGCAAGTGAGCCGCATGCAAGAGGAGTACGGTGTCCTCCTCTACCAGATGATGCACTCCAGGTCCCCCCAGGCCAGAATCACGAAGCAGCGTATGTTCGTCGGCCGCTGCAAGAAGCGACTCATGGACGCCCAGGCAAAGATGCACTTGCTCCAGGAGCAGTTGGAGGCGGCCGACACTCAATGCCAAGTTCTCGCAGATGAACTCGCACAAGCAGAACAGTTGTTGGAACATTTTGAAGATTTGGACGATGAACAACCAATCGCAGGCAACATCGCCGTTCCAGACGATGATGATGACTAACTCATGATGGACGGACCACTCGCGCAGACGGGCTTCCGCCCAGGACAGATACGAACAACCAGCAAGGCACCATGGACATCAGCCAGTTCCTCACCGTTCACGACGCCGCCCAGGACAGCGACAGTGCAGCGCACGACAGCTACTCCTGCCGCGACCTCGAATACGCCTGTTCAAGCCGCAGCAGTTGGAGGCCAGGAGACACCGCGCTCCCAGGCCGCCCCGCCCACTTCGCAGGTACCACCTGGAGGGCCCTCTGCAGCGGTCATGGGTAATGAAGTCAGCATGCCAGCACTATTGGCAGCAATACAGCAATCCAACGCGCAGATGTTGCACAACATGTCATCGTTCCAGCAGACTGCGGCCACTCTCCAGAGTGAGATTGCCAACATCAGGACAGAGAAAAATCCGACATGGAGACTATCACCGCCGCCGCCATCGATGCGGCCAAGACCGCAGTTGCCATGCAGACCCCCAAGAAGGACAAGGACAAACCGGTGCCAGCGGAGATCCAGAAGGCCAACCGAGCCAAGCTGGAGGCGGCCCTACTAGGCCGCCGAGCTACACGTTCAGTCCCCCCTCGACGGCGCACGGACGGGCAGTGGACAGGCGGGGGCCAAAGTCCTACGAGCCGACCGAGATGGTGGAGGAACTCTGGGCGCAGGTGCAGGGGAAGTGGCAAACCGTGAGGCAGCAGAGGAAGCGGCAGCCAGAGCTGCTGCCGAGGACAGTGAGCAAGCCGCTTTGCAGTCGCCTGCGAGCGCTGCCAAAGCTATTTCTTTTCCGCCAGCCAGCGCATCACCAGCGAGCCCAGTTTTTCGCTAAAGGCCGTGTCAGAAGCGCTTCGGCCTTCGAATTTAACATATCCCATCCATCCAGGTTTTTGCCCCCCGCCTGCATGAATATTCTCCTTCACGACAGGAAAAAGCAGTGTGCCCCATGTATGGAGCACGACAACAGAGAGCATGTGACCGCATCAGTGCAGGGTATCTCGGTTTCACCCATCCCACACTACTCGGACACTGCATCTCTCTTGGAACGGAAATGGCCAGCGCAGCTCTCGACCGACATCCTGAGTTGGGCCCAATATTGGCACTCGTCTACGATTCAGGCTTTTGCCAATCTCATACCCCTTCCCATGGACATGCCCATCGAGGAAATTCAGGTCTACACAGATGCCACAGCAGGGGGTTATCGTTATGAAAGCAACAGGTGTTAACCGGCTTGGACCTTCTGCGTACTTGCACTCACTGCCATGGGGGTTTCTCTGATAGGACATCTTGCAGGGCCACTCAGAGGCTGGGGCGCTTCGGACACTGTGCGTCTCTACGAGCAGAGCTGGAGGCGGCCATTTGGGCCAGCGCCTGGCTGTTGCAAGCGCCCGTGCACCTGCGCCAGGCCACAGTCAGCTTTCACGCTGACAACATGGACGTGCTCAGAGTGTACAGGGGGGGGGGGGGGGATACGGGCAGGACACCCACCAGTCAGTCAAGCGTCTCCTGGATTGTCTTATCCAGACCATACGAGTGCGCGTGCACTATGTCGTCTTTGAGCATGTGCATGGACACGCAGCACACCCTTGGAACGTGTGCGTCGACACACTTGCGCGTCTCTACGCCATGGATATACCCCCTGGGTTCTTTGACCCAGTCTGGGGGCACTTCATATCCCAGGAAGAACACGACAAGGCACTACCATGGATTTGGCTGGCATACGCTGATCCGACTACGCAGGAGGCTTTCCCGCCCCACTACGGACAGCATCTGCCCCCCCCCCCCCCAGGCTCCCACTACGGGCTTCATGGACATCATCCCGGCCCCCCAAGAAGGTTCCCAAAGGCGTCAAAACCTTTGCGCTTGGGTGGTGTGCTATTGCCAACGTGCTCCCCCTGGACCCCCGAGCGTACAAGGCCCGCAAAGGGGGCCGCGACAGGTACCAAGGTTTCAACGCCGCTGGCCGAATGATGCAGCTCGCGGGCCAGTTCGCACAGAAGCCTTACTTCCTGGCAGGTACCATGGAGACGCGTCTCCGTCGCACGGGCACCTCTGAGCTAGGCCAGTTCTACCTGTTGCACTCGCAGGCCTCCGACGCCGGAGGAGAGGGCTGCACGCTATGGGTCAACGCACACATTGGGAATACCAACCAGGTCTTACAGTGCAGCCTTCTCGCCTACAAGTACTGCATGTAGAGCCCACAGTGCTCGTCGTGGCCGCGCGGGCCCCAGGTCTGTCGCTCTGCGTTTGCGTGGCGCATGCTCCGCACTCCCGCCGCCCCCCAACGGACATCGACAGTTGGTGGTCTCGGTTGCGACGCTACATGCATCAACACAAAGGGGGCTCGGAACACATGGTCACGCTAGTGGATGCCAACGCCGCTCTGGGATCCCAAGCGGACGCTCACGTGGGCCCCATGCATGCCGAAAATCAGAACCTCCCAGGGAAGCACTTTCACGACTTCCCCAAGGCTACCTCTCAATGGGCCCCATCGACCTTCTACGAGGACCCCTCAGGCTCAGCGGCTACCTGGACAGCTCCAGGGGCCAAAACAACAACCCACCGCAGGGACTACGTGGCGATGTCAATGGACGTTGCGGTGCCAGCACAGGGGGGCGACCACGATATCGATCTCACCGTATCACAGCCAGATCACAGCGTGGCAGCTGCGCGCCTTTCGTTCCCAACCTCCGAGTTCGTGCCGAAGGCGCCCAGGCCCTACAAAGTCAAACACGGTCCGACTCTTTACGCGGATCCGACCTCAGCCCAGCTATTCCAGCACATGCTCATGCAGTTCCGCCCCCCCCCCCCCCCCCCCCCACCCCCCCCCCCCCCCGCCATTCAGCGTGCACAGCACAGACCATACTAAGGCATGTGAAGACCACGTGCGACAGTGTATGAGCACGGCATTCCCTGTGCGATAGACAGCTACAGGGAGACAACCAAGGCAATCCTGGATCAGCACCGACACTCTGGGCCTTCAGGACGAAAGAAGCATATATTTACGCCTCTCCCGCAAGATCCTCCTCTGGGCCAATCGAAACATGCTGCGTGTTCTTTTCTTTGCATGGCAATGGGCGATTGCATCCATCAGCTTCGAGGCTGACGACACACCCGCCAGTGGCCGTTACCCTAGCCTGCCCGCCTTAGTTTGCCAGGTTCGTTCCCGACACAGTCAATGCCTGCTACTCCCGCAGGCCACAGCGTCGCTACTAAGGAGACAAGCCTACATTAGGGAACGACACTCAGGGAAAGGTCAGGAGGACAAGGATTGGGACGACCCAGGATGCTGGCGCAATGGGGGCACCAAGGGGCATCCGCCATCATCCTACACCACCATTCCTACCATCAACCTGCATGGACGGGACGGTACAAGGAGGAGATGTGGAGGTATGGAAATACGTTACATGCTGCTGGGACTATGCTCATGGAGTGCGCGCCTGTGCGAGTGCCCATCGTGAGCTTATGTTGTTTCACACAACTTTGCTCATTCGCAACTCGACAGCTCAAGACGCCCTAAAGCACTATGAAGGACAATCATCTAGTGTGGCCGACGCATGGGAACGAATGAACTACTTCCAGGTTTTTGCCAAGCTACGTGCCATGGGTATCGGATCAGCCAACAGAGTCAGCACACGCGCATTACCTATCGCAGAACTGGAGGATGGCGCAACCGCCTCCAAACACACAGAGTCTGTGAATCGCTGGCTGCGCCATTTCGCCGCCGAGGGGATTGGGGTAGTGGTCCCGCTGGAGGAAGCAGACACCTTTGCACAGACTATCCCGAAGCTCCAGAGTAGTCTCAGGAACGACATCGACCCATCGGACGCCTTCCTACCTACCCTGGCAGACTACCAACGAGCGCGTCGCTCAGCCAAGCCCTCAGCAGCCAGCTAAGATGGCA